TTTCACTGAACAGATCCTTTCCCTCCTTGGTCTAAGTTATTCCTAAGGATTTTTTTTATGCTATTGTAAATCCACTTTTTTCTTAATTTCTCTTTCTGACATTATTGTTAGTGTATAGAAATGCAGCTGATTTCTATATATTGCTATTTGTACATAAAGAATTACTCTACTTAATTCATTTATTAGTTCCAACTTTACTTAATTCATTTATTAGTTCCAACCATCTTTGGTGGTCTTTAGGGTTTTCCGTATATAATATCATGCCATCTGCAAAAGGTAATAATTTTACTTTTTCCATTCTGATTTGGGTGCCTTTTATTTATTTTTCTTTCCTAATTGCTCTAGCTAAAATTTTTATACTATGTTGAATAAAAGTAGTGAGTGGGCATATTTATCTTATTCCTGACCTTAGAGGGAAAGCTTTTAGTTTTTCACCATTAAGTATGATGTTAGCTATTAGTGTGTTATATATGGCCTTTATTATGTTGAGTTATGTTCCCTCTAAAGCTGCTTTGTTGACAGTGTTCATCATGAAAGTATGCTGAATTGTGTCAAAGTTTTTTTGCCACCTACTGAGATTATATGATTTTTATCATTGTTTTGTTAATGTTGTATATCACATTGATTTGCAGGTATTGAACCATCCTTGCATCCCTGGAGTAAGTCCCATTTGATAGCTGTGTCTGATCCTTTTAATGTACTATTGAATTCAGTTTGCTAAGATTTTATTGAGAATTTTTATATCTATGTTCATCGGGAATACATAATTTTATTTTCTTGTGGTGTCTTTAGTGTTGGTACCAGGGTAATTCTGGCCTTGTAAAATTAGTAGAAGTGTTCTGTCTTCTTCTTTTGGGGGGTGGAAGGGGTTGAAGAGCTGAGGCTCCAGGTGTGTATACTAGATTCTTCCAGGGAGACTCTGGCAACTTGGATAGGGCTAGAGAGAGAGGGAAGAAAGAGGGATTGCAGCTTCCCTGCAATCCAGGAAGGATTGCAGCCAGCCCCTAAATGCTTACTAATTTAGAAGCCTGACCCTCAGGCAGAATTGAAGTATGCAAATAGAAATCTTTCAGGGAAAGACTGGGAAGTGAGCATTTCTGCCTACTTCCTCTGCACTGAGCCCTGCGGGACAGCCACAGCTAGTGTTCATATTCATTAATAACTGCTTCTTTGTTTGCTATAGTCTTGTGGGTCTCATGGATGCAAGTGACACTGGTTTTCAGAGATAGGTGTTTTGGGAGCCTGTCTCTCAAGTGGGAGTCTTAAAAGTTGGGGTATTAGATGTGGGATTCAAACCCTTAGATGCTCAGGGAGAAGCTGGGAGGTGATGGTTCTCTCCCAATTGTGTGGCATTAGGCTGGGAATGGGGTTTATGACAAGAACTAGAGGCCTGGTGCATGAAATTCATGCACGGGGGGTGGGGGGAATCCCCTCAGCCCAGTCTGCACCCTCTCCAATCTGGGGATCGGGCCTAAACTGGCAGTTGGACATCCCTCTCACAATCCTGCACCACTGGCTCCTAATCGCTTACCTGCCTGCCTGGTCGCCCCTTACTGCCCCCCCTCCCCCCTGCTGGCCAGGTTGCCCCCAACTGCCCCCTCCCTGCCAGCCTGGTCATAGGCAACCATCTTGTGAGGGTGTGAGGGTTAATTTGCATATTACTTCTTTATTATATAGGCTGTGTCTCAGCCTTTCCTAGCGATTTCAGTGTGGGTATTTTCTCATTCAACTGACGTGTTGGAGTCCCTCAGCTAGTTTCAGTATTTCCTTCAAAGAGAATTATTCCCTGTATGGCTGTCCATTCAGTGTTCCTGTGGGAGGAGGAGAGTTCAAGAGCCTCCTATGTTGCCATCTTTAAGGACTGCCCCTACCCAATTTTACAAAAAGTAAATCTTAGTGAGATTTGTCTTTAATAAACTTTAATGGATAATAGCTATGAACTATTATATTGCATTTGAATTCAGTGATAGATATTGAAGTGATCATCGACTAACCTAAGAGTATTTTAGATTGATACTTTGTTATTAAGTCGCCGATGTGATAAGAGAATAAGGCTCAAGCTACCTTTAGGTGTTTATTAATCTAAGTTCATTTTATAAATACTTATTTAATACCTACCATATTTCAGGCACTGTTCTAGGCACTTGGAATACAAGTATCCAACTTTGTGGAACCTCCATTCTATAAAGTAATGTACTATAAAAATAACAATTACATAAATAAAAGTAAAGATTACTTTTAACTTCTAAAATATGAGCCTAGAAAATATTCTAGGTGGTACTGACAGCAAAATTCCAGCAGATGACTGCAATCCAACCAGAAACATTTTTATGACTGCATTCATTGTTTGCCATTTGGTCGCTCATTTATGATTTCATTTTGCTAATCTCTGACATTCTCTTCTGATCTGAATTTCAATGAGGGTACTAAATTAAGTTTTTGGTTACCTTTGCATATTTTGTGACTTCAAACATTTAGATTATGAATCACTGTGTGCATAACTTTTTAAATTGTCTCAAGCCAGTGGTGTTCCTTTGACTTTTTCTAGCTTTTCTCTAATGAATTAACTTCATAGTATACGTTCTGTGCTTTAGTCTAACAGAGCTATAGCTGATTTTTTAAAAACTCATACAATGTATGCCTCACCTTTTCATCTGTACAATGGGATCTATAGAATACTTAACCAGCATGGTTGTTATGCGCATTCAATAATATAACATTTGAAAACACTTCAATTTGAAGAAAGGGCAGGACATGGTAAGTTTTAAGTGCTATGTTTTCTGTACCCGTATTAGTCATTTACTTATTTCTAATATTTTAGCACAGTCAATGGGAGTATTGTACATTTTTATTTCCTTTGTACTCTTGGGAGGAAGCAGGATTACAATGAAAAATAAAGGCTAACATATATCCAGCAGGGCCATATAAAGACTATCTCTTTGTAAACTGCTTGTCTCAGGAGTCAATCCCTTAAAATGATGAAAACCGAGATCTTTTCACACTTAACTCTTTCTTTGAAGTTTTCTTCCTGATTTCAAAAAACCATTGTTATTATAAAATTCCAACATTAAAATGAATACATTTTTTAAAAATAAATTTATGCTAACAATAAAGTAAGATGTGCTTTCTGAGTTATAGAACAATATTTTTAAAACTTTTCATTGATTACTATAATATTTTTTAAATAAATGAATAAAATTCCAACATTAGAGAAATTAATAACTTAGAAAGCAATAAAAACTATTTATTCAAACCTGGACTCTTTATTCCTAGAGATAATTCATGGTAATAATCTGTGTATGTTCTCATATGTTTCTCCTAGTTATATATGTATTTATTAAAATAAAATCACATACTGCTTTGTAACTGGCTTTTATTCACTTATATAATGTCTTTGGTGTTTGTGTCAACACATTTAATTCCTTCTCATTTTCAACAGCTGCAGAGAGCAGCAACTCAAGGATGCACGTGTGGCTCTCTATGTCCCATAGAGCCACAGAGCATTCAGATCTGACTGGGGGAATGAAACCTTCCTGCTGACCTTTGTACTGCCATCTACTTACCCTCTCTCCCTCTCAAAGTCCTAGCGCAAAAGGGCACCAGGAGAATGACTCAGAAGATCTTCTCAGTCCAGACCAGAGCTTCCTACGTGCAGGGAGGACTGAGCTGAATGAGGGGCTCACATCCATCCAGCAGTTAATCCTAAGGATCACAGGAACATTATAAACGCAGCGCCCTCGAAGTGAAACTCCTCTTGGAGTGTGGATGCCCAGTCATGCACAGTCCACTTGAAGCAGGAAGGAAAGTTTATTTGAGGATGTTAAGGTCAAGCTAACTTATTTTTAAATTGTCATAGGAGGCCATTCATCCTCACTTCACGTCTTCCACTTCAAAGCCTACTTTCCATCATCCAGATATTTACCCTTGGAGCGATTAAGTCCTCTTTTATCTTTTCCACGCTTTCATTAGCTGCATTTTTCCCCTCTTTTTAGATTACAAAAGGGAAGATTTTTTTTAGTCCAAATGCCAATATGTCAAAAATTATATATTTATTCCCATGCAACGCACAATGTGTATAATTGCATACTCTATTGTAACAAATGTAATGTTATTTAATTTGTGTTTCCAAACTTGCACATAATGGGCTGACCAGATATCAAGAGTACTTTATGCAAAGAGCTTCGAGTATTCTGCTTAGTTGAGGCCTTTGTTAGACAAAATGTAATGCTGCAGACTTTACAACATAAGGAAATTTTTTTCCCAGAGGAGCTACAAGCTTCTTTGTCAAGAAAACAAGAGAGCCCAGCCAGCATGGCTCCGTGGTTGAGCATCAACCAATGAACCAGGAGATCACAGTTCAATTCTCCGTCAGGGCACACGCCTGGGTTGCAGGCTGGATCCCCAGTGTGGGGCAGCCGATCCGTGATTCTCCCTCATCAGTGATGTTCTATCTCTCTCTCTCTCTCCCTCTCTCTTCCTCTCTGAAATCAATAAAAAATATATATTTTTTTAAAAAAGTAAACAAGAGACATGATTGTCCTAAGTGGCTCTTTCGTGGCTGGACAGACTATGATGCCTCTGTGGCATCAACCAGGAAGCCGAGGTGTGCAGGCTGAGGAGCAAGCTCCTTGCTGCCCCGCAGGGATGCTGAGGAAAGCAGGGATGTTGTGGTAGGCTGCCCACAGCTTCAAGGCTCCCGGGAACCCCAGACTTTCTGAAAGCCCTTGCCAATTTGCTGAGGGTTAAGTAGTAAGTGGTTCAAAAATGCATAGGAAGAGCATGGGATGGTGATGGGCCAGAACTACGAGGATGGATAGTCCTGTTCTCTGCCTTCTCGCTGTCCAGGCATCGCAGAGCCCAAGTAGCGCGACGCGGTGCTGGGGTTCGAGATCTGGTTATTTGTACCTCAAACAGGTCCGAGTGAACCTTTCTGAAATGTTTTTTGGAACTAAAAATGCCTTGTCGTGCTTCTTATGGCTGTTTCAACCTGTTTCTTTCAGATACCATTGTTCTTATCGCTTCAATAGCAGTTGTTTCTGCAAAAACTCAGGGTAATATTTTTGCCACGTCCGCACTCAGAAGTCTCCGTTTCCTACAGATCCTCCGTATGGTGCGCATGGACCGAAGGGGAGGCACTTGGAAATTACTAGGTTCTGTGGTTTATGCTCACAGCAAGGTAAGATTTACTTTCTGACTCATAGAACAAGATTTTTTAAACTCTTGCATTGTTTGCTGAAATATTTGATAAGCTTGTCAGTAGCGAACTTAGTCATTTCAGAAATTGGCCAAAGTAATTTAGAGACACAGTATATAATGAATTGTTTAAAAATCATCATAAGTATCCAAGAAGTAGTCAAATGAATGGAATCGTGCATAAATAGATTTGTTTTCCTTTTTCAAAGATTGTTTTCACTTCTAAAAATCTTTCATTCCTTTTTTACCTAGGAATTAATCACAGCTTGGTACATAGGATTTTTGGTTCTTATTTTTTCATCTTTCCTTGTCTACCTGGTGGAAAAGGATGCCAACAAGGAATTTTCTACATACGCAGATGCTCTGTGGTGGGGCACAGTAAGTATAAAAATCTTTTTTTATTTATTAGATGTTGTGGAAATTTTTCCCCTTCGAATACAGTGTCGTGTAATGATTCTGATGAAAATTTTCAATAAAATATTAACTCCCAAAAGAGAGTTATGTGAAAATATACTGTACTTATAATTGTCTAAAGAGTTCCCCACCCCCCTTTGGCTCAGCAAAGTTAACTTCTCTTAAAAATCATTAGTCATAATTCTTGAGTGCTAGATTGTTGCCAAAATAAAAGCATATCAATTTTAACTGTGATTAAAATGTTTATAAGCTCATTTGTTTGGTTTAGCTTTATGGGGCGCAGATTTAAATTACCAAGTGCTACATTGGTTTGTCATTCATCAAAATGATGTAAAAAGTAAAGGAATGGTAGCTGAACAAAAGTTATAAAGGTGAAATTATGGCACAAAAAGTGAAAACGAGAAGATTGGTAACCATCTGTGAGATCAGAGATTATAAACGCCTGATTTCAAAACTTTCCATTCAAAAACCTACTTTCCCTTTATATTTTTACTAATGGCTAGTTTTAACCAAATCAAAGTAATCATGACTCTCATACAGAAAGAAAATAACATATGCTAAATATTTTAACTGATTTTTTTTTATCATTTAAGTAAGTACTAGTATTAATGATGGCACCAGTAAGATGTCAAAAGCAGTTCGAAGGACTACCTAAAGAACAAAAACATATCAAGATCAGGAATGAAGGTGCAAAAAGCTGTGGTACATTTACACAATGGGATATTATGTGGCCATAATAAATAAGGAACTCTTACCTTTTGTGACAGCATGGATGGACCTAGAGAGTATTATGCTAAGTGAAATAGGCCAGTCAGAAAAAGACAAGTACAATATGATTTCAATTATATGTGGAATCTAATGAACAAACTAAGCTAATAAACAAAATAGAAAGAGACTTATAGATACAGAAAACAGACTAACTGCTGTCTGAGGGGAATGGTTTAGGGGACTGGGTGAAAAGGTGAAGGTGTAACCAGACAATCAATGGGTCTGTGCTGCCTGTCACTACTTGAGCCAATTAAGTAGAGACAGGGTTGAAACATTATGAGTGTTTATTCCAATACTGCCAGCAATATGGGAGAGCAGCAGGTCATCCAAAAAAAAGTCTGCTCTGCACCCCACCATAAGCCAGCTGCTTATATAGGGTAAAAGGACAAAAGATTGCCTGGGGAAGTAACAAAAAGGTGTGCCACATGGGCAGTCAACAGATAAGTAGAGAGCTGGGGATCTTCAAAGGGATGCAAAAAGGCAGGGCGTCTTCAAAGGGCTTAGTGATATGCAAAGGCTGGGGGAGGGGGTCTTCAAAGAGCTCTCGATTCTGCGGCAAAGTTGTTCATCTTCCCATGATAATAGGCAGCTCCAAATGCGGAGGATGGACTGCATTTTTAGGTGAGCTCCCATGTCCCATGTGGGTAACTGCCAGCCAGGTTAGAATGTGCCTTCTTTAATCAGAATAAAACAATCCCGGTTAACAGAGCATGGTTAATATTTCTTACAATTCTAGCTGGTTCCCCAACGTTCTGTTTCTGCCCCTGTCAAAGGGATAAACAAGACAAAACAAAAATTATACACAGACAACAGTACGGTGATTACCAGAGGGAAAGGGGTTGGAGGGAAGTAGAAGAGGCTAAAGGAGGGATAAATGGTGATGGAAGGATTCTTGACTTGGGATGGTGAACACATGATGTAATATACAGATGATGTATTGCAGTATTGTACACCTGAAATCTATATAATTTTGTTAACCAATGTTAGCCTAATAAATTCAATACAAATTTCAAATGTTTTAAATTATTTTTATTGTTGACACTATTGCAGATGTCCCCATTTTCCCCCTTACCACTTCCACCCAGTCCCCACCAACTGTTCCCTCTGGCCGTCACCTCACTGTTGTCTGCAGTATGGCGATGGCCAGAGGGAAGGGGTGGTGGGGGCTGGGTGGAAGTGGGAGCCTATGGGTTATGAATATAGGTGCTTCGGCTGCTCCCTTCAGTTTCTTCCATCCAGTCCCTCCCCTGTGACATGCTGTCACAAAAGGTAAGAGTTCCTTCTTTGTTACAGCTGCATAGTATCCCATCGTGTACCTGTCTCACAGCTTTTTTATTCACTCATCTGCTGATGGGCACTTGGGTTGTTTCTCTATCTTGGCCATTGTAAATAATGCTGCTATGAACATAGAGGTGCATATATTCTTTTGAATTGGTGTTTCAGGATTCTTAGGATATACCCCTAGAGTGGGATTACTGGATCAAAAGGCAGTTCCAGTTTTAATTTTTTGAGGAACCTTCCTACGGTTTCCCACAGTGGCTGCACCACTTTGCATTCCCACCAACAGTGCACCACAGTGCTCTTTGCTCCACATCCTTGCCAGCACTTGTTGTTCGTTGATTTATTGATGGCAACCATTCTGGCAGGTGTGAGATGATATCTCATTGTGATTTTAATTTGCATCTGTCTGATGATTAGTGACGTTAAGCATGTTTTTCATATGTCTATTGGCCATCTGTATGTCCTCTTAAATGAATGTACAAATAAAGGCAAATCTGGCTTCTTTGAACAGTGTGAGAGGGAAGTCAATTAAACTACCACTAGACAGAATTTATTTCCATGTCTATAGACAAGAATTATTTTGCATTGCTACCAATTATCTACAATCTGCAGAGCTGTAAAATAACTCAAAGGCCATGCAAGGTACAGAGCCCCATAAAATCACAATTCAATAACCTGGAAGGGGTACTCTAAACAATGCATAGTTTTCCATTGAAGCAAAATTTCCCTGCATTGTAAAGAATTTAAAAAACAGTCATTGACTAGAAAAGGCCTTAGAGGTCACATAATCTTATCGCCTATTGAGGAATGTAAGGCCAACGGTGACTTATTGCCTTATATTTTATAACTAGTAATGGCCAGGGCAACACTAACTCCCAAGGCCCTCTTTCTATGAAACTATTGACATTAACTAGATCTGAGTCAGAAAAAGTTTATCAAGTTCAATGTTTGCAAATATGTTGATATTGCTATGCATTTAATAAATGTACTGCCTAAAAGGAAAAATAAATAAATGAATAAAATAAAATAAAAAATATTCATTGAAACATGTTCCATTAATAAGAATGTCACAAGATAAAGAAGTGCTTTATTCAATTCATAAACTATATCCTTTTTATTTTATTCCTTAAGACATTCAAACAGAGTGTTATGTGAAAATATACAGCATTTATAATTGTTTATTTAAAGAGTCTCTCCATCTCTTTGGTCTAACAACGTTAAGTTCTCTTATAACTTTGGCTGGATTGTTGCCAAAATAAAAATAAATCGTTTTCTTAAACTGTGATTAAAACATTGGCAAGTTGTTTGTTTTAACTTTGTGGAGCATAGGTTTATTACCAGTTGTTGTATTGTTCCCCAAAACCACATCACCAGGAAACCAGAACTTTTGTCAAGGACAAAGGAAATTTGTCAGGGCTTATATTAAGTAGAACTTGGTATTTTTGTTGATTGTATAGCAGCAATAAAATGAGTAAGAATCAAAAATGTATTCACCTATAGAATAAGATCTTTTAAATTATCAGAGTAAATGTCTACAAGATTGCACCATTGACAACAAAGCATTCCGTTGTTGTACTAATTTGTTTTCAACACCACTTCCTCCCATGCCCACCAGCAATAATGGTCATTTAGAAAGGAGGAAATAGAAACCCCAAAAGAGAAAAGTCATCTGACATTCTTCAGACACTTCTTATTCAGAGGTGGGCAAAAGTAGGTTTACAGGTGTTCGTGAGGAAAATAATACAATAATTAGTAATTAATACAAGAATAAACTGTTTCATATGCTCACAACTGTAAACCTACTTTTGCCCACCCCTGTATGTAGAGAGCAAATGAACATCTATGACTCATGGTGGGATAAATTGTGTAAACTGAGATAACAAAAGGCTTTTCTAGTTAATGAGGGGAAGAGAATTTACAAACCCAGCCTTCAAAGCAATGACTTGAATTTAAGCTTAGTGTTTGCTTCTCTCTGAAAATTCTAACTGTTTAAACTCCCATGTCACTCGGGTGCTCCTCTTCCCATTGGAATGCCCTTGTTGGGGACTTCAGCCTGCCAGCTCTGTCCCCTTTTTCCACTGGTCTTCCTTTCCCCCTTATCACTAACTAGAGGCCCAGTGCATGAAATTCGTGCACTATGGGGTGGGGGCAGATCCCTCAGCCCGGCCTGTGCCCTCTCACAGTCCGGGACCTCTCTCCTTACTGCCTGCCTGCTCGCTGCTACTTAGTCCTGCCATGGAGGCAGGAGAGGCTCCTGCCACCGCCGCTGCGCTCACCAGCCGTGAGCCCAGCTTCTGGCTGAGCAGCGCTCCCCTCTAGGAGCACACTGACCACCAGGGGGAAGCTCCTGTGTTGAGAGTCTACCCCCTGGTGGTCAGTGCGCATCATAGTGACCGGTCATTCTGGTCATTCCACTGTAACGGTCACTTAGGCTTTTATTATAACACTAGAGGCCCAGTGCATGAAATTCGTGCATGAGAGGGGTCCCCTCAGCTTAATCTGCACTCTCTCCAATCTGGGACCTCTTGGGGGATGTCCGGCTGCCGATTTATGCCCGATCCCCTAACCGTCTCTGCCTGCCAACCAACCATGGCCTCTAACTGCCCCCCCTGCCAGCCTGGTTGCCCCCAACTGCCCGCCCCCTGCCGGCCTGGTCACCCGCAACTGCCCCACCACCAGCCTGGTCGCCCCTAACTGCCCCTCCTGCTGGCCTGGTCATCCCAAACTGACCCCCACCCCTGCCAGCCTCACACAGCCTGGTGTTCAGTCATTACTGTGACAGCGTCCTGGACAATTTGCATATTCCTCTACTAGGGGCCCGGTGCATGAAATTCGTGCACTGGGTGGGGGGGGGGGAGTGTCCCTCAGCCCAGCCTGCTCCCTCTCACATACTGGGAGCCCTCAGGCGTTGACCC